TCACCTTTCTATACCCAAATCTGAGCCACTGGGCTTCTCTGAAAAGTCAGAAATTAACCAAGCATGACATTCAACCACTACAACTAACTTTTCTCCTCAGGAATGCAAGTAAATAACTATAATTAGACATCTTAATCTAGAAATAATAATGTGCTTTGCTATTTTTTCTGTAAAACAGTAAATTTGAAAATTCATGGATATCAATAACAATTGTACTTTAGCGTTAAAAATATCATTTTGGTTAAAGAGCTTCTACATACTGGTGTATTAACCATTACAGAAACATAAGAAATGTTTTTAGTAATTACCAATGCTGTTAATTTAGGGCAGCTGTAGCATAACCCTCTCAGTGGGTGGTAGTCCAATACATTTTTTAAGCACTGTATATGGGGCTGATTTTATTCACTTTCATGTACTTGAGGTGTGTATTATCTAGTCAAAGGATATCAGCTTGGGACTTGGTATCAGCAGATGCTAAATATTAAATGACTGAGATCGGATCAGTGTCAAAAAAACTTCATCAGGTCATCCCTAGCAAGAGCTGAATAAGTGACTATAACACCTGATGAGCTTACCATCTTAGGTTAACTTTAGTTTTTTCTTTGCAGCTATTTGGACGAGCATAAAAGGAACGAGTGGATAACCCAAGGGACAGAACTGGCGCTGAGAGAGAGGTGCAGGTGGATGGAGGGTGGCTTAAAGGATTCTGGGATGGTGGTCGTCCTGCCTCACTCTGAACACTCACCTTGCTCTTCTCTCTCTGACTACCATCGCCAAGCCCTCACTACAGCAGAGGGAAGATCCGCTACAACAGCAAAACTCTTTTAGCCTGTGTCTCGTATGTGACTGCTGCAGTACACCTGGACACACCTGTCCTTAATCCTGTGCTGCACAGCCTCCAGTGTGGCACCTCCCTGTTGAAGATTCACCCTTTTACTTCTCCTCAAGCATAAAGTTATTGTTCCTGACTTCTAGTATTATGATGGCTGCAGTTTATCGTTGTGCTCTTTAAACTGTACAGTATGTTTATCAGCCCTTTCATCGTCTTCTTTTTTATGACGAGCATGAGCTGTATTACTACCCGTGACTGTTTTTCTGCACGACTAAGGCTGCCTGTGTGAAATGAACAAACGACCCCACGTGTCTCTCAGAAGGAGACTGGTGGGTGTATTTATTTCATGTGTTTTGTTTTGTTATTCAATGGAGCTTTTATTTTATTTTTTTGTTGTTTTTGCCTCTTTCTCTGGAGTGTAGTTGACCCCTGAACCGACGCCTCCATGTGTTCGCTGGACCCCTCCGAGCCGCTCTGTGAGACAGTGAAAACCATGCAGCATGCTAAGATATTACTGTCGTTCTTAATTGATTCTCTATGTACTGAACCTTGCAAGTTAACTACTGAAATGGTTGAAATTATAGTATCCCGCTGTTTATGTAAATTTCCAGTTTTGTCGTGGTGACTTAACTACAACTACGCTGTAGATGGTATTTAATTGCATGATATTACGAGTTAATACTTTGATAATTTTGGTGTTATTGTGCATTTTTGTTGGTTTTTCTCTTTTTTGGACTGAACTACTGGTGAGCTATAATCTGTTGCCTCTTTTTCTGGGCTTTGTAAGTGCATAAACTATTTTTGTGTTGATATGGCAGTGTAGTATATGGGGATGCTGGTGAGAGTCATGACAGACTATGCCTTTTTTCTGAGAGAGATTTTTGGCTCAAAATCAGATTTAAAATGGCGCTTTACTGATTCAAAGTAAACAAAAAACAAGACACCATTATTTTTTAAGATTCAAAAAGACCTGACTGTTGAAAAATGTTGCAGCACTGGGTATTTGGTTCTTAATTTAGATTATTGTTTTGCATCTCAACATAGATATTTTAATTATTAAATACTTTATATGTTTAAAAAAGCTGAACAAAGCACTGGTATTAGATATGTGCAGCCTAGATTTTAGAAACACTAAGGTCATAAGTCATAGTGGTGTCTCATAATGCCAACATTGACAATAACTGTAATAACAAATGAAATTTAGTTGTCATGTCAGTAATACATAGATGATAAATAAGCAACTGTCTGGTTAGACTGAAACATACTTACGCAGTACGGTTACATCGTTTCAGTGATATCATTATCATGAATTCTTTTGGCCTCAATAATCATCTCGTGAATATCTGATGTTGTGACAGTTTAAAACATTTAAACACCAACTGTAGACTCGTTTTATTTATTTACTTCAAATTTATTGTCTGTTTAGACCTCTGCCTCTGTTGCTACAAATCTTCTACAAATCTTCTCAGTTTCAGGATTTTTTTTTGCATTTTTCATTTATTCCAACAATTATCATTTAGCCAGTGAAAAATAAGAGAATTATATCAACCAACAGTGGAATCCTAAAAGACTAAGTCAAAACAATGACCTAACAATATATGTTTGAGCCAAGACAAGATTTTGGAATTAAATTATATCATACAAATGCAAGCTGCTTGTTCACAAAAAACAAATTGGTCAGTAAATCAGAATTATGAGTTACTAAGTCAGGATTATGACAGACTTTGTCACAATCATAAATGCTAAATCAAAATGATCAGAAAATAAGTCAGAATTATGAACTAATATGTCAGTATTATGGAGTACAAAGTCAGGATTATGGCAGACTTTGCCAGAGTTATGAGATATAAAGTCTAAGTTATGATTATTATTAAAATATTGGAAAGTAAGTCAGAATTCGTGCTACCAAGTCACTGCTTTTTAGGTGGATATTCCACAAAATTTACAGAGGGCTAGAGAATTGAACAAGTTAATTAAATAGTTGTTTTTTTTGTTTTTGTTTGTTTGTTTTTTAATGTCCTAAAACATCAATGCGTGATTTAAAAAGGGGAGATGCACGGTGTTTACTGAACACTGACTCTGCAAAATTCTGCTGAGAAAACAAAACATCTTTTATTGAGTGTATTTAGGTACAAAATAATTCAAATTCACCAGTAATATATTCACTTACAGCAAATAGAATGTAAACATCTCCATAAAAATACTCAGGACATGACCTCAGTGTCTTTAAAGTTTGCTGCAGCCCTGACTGGTGTATCTTCTCCTTAGCAAAGAATTGCAACTCCAGGGTTTTAAAGGCAAATATCAGAGCTGACTTTTTCACTTAGAGCCTGAGAAGATATATATATATTTAAAAAAACAAACAAAAAAAACAAAACAAAAAACTAACACATAGTCGTCTCAGGACTTAAGCTGCTTCATTTTAATCAGTATTTACAGTATTTTCTAATTGCTGCGGCTCAGTTTTCACAAGTGTGCAAAGTGCTACAGCTCCAACACAGCACACAAAATAAATGAACAAAATTATATTTGATTTATAATTTCAGAACTTTATAATAGGTATATCCAGCCTCTTTAATGTGAGTGTTTGCTACTTTCTGACACTGTAAATAATTCAGCTGCAAATTATGACAGTGGCTTGCACCATTGCAAAAACTCGCCAAAAACAGACTTATCTGTCACTTAAACAGAAAAAAAGTAATTAGCAAAAGTTTAAAGCAATATATTTTAAAAACCGTAGCTCACAATAGCAGTAAAATCACTGAGAAATGCTTTGCAAAAACAAAGAGGCACTAAGAAACTAAGCAGAACTCATTTTTGTGTTTTATATCAATAGATTCTAGAGGGGACTGTTCCTTCAATATTTAGAAGCCATGGCTGTAAAGTTTAATTATGGAAAATACAACAAGCAGCTTCTGTACATTTGAAATGTGTGACCATATTGGCAAAGTAATAAGCATTTATGCTTGAATAAATAAGAAATGCTTCTAAACTCATGTTACATTGATCAGTTTTGCTCTTCAACAATCAGCTGAAGTCAGGTACATAAACATAAAGCCTGTTCAATGTGGGAAAATAAGTGTCAAATTAAAGACTTTTTTTTTTTTTTTAACCCCCCTTTTTGGGAAAGTGAAAAAGGATGAACATTTATTATACTTTGAGGTGACTGTGATTTAGTGTTTTGGGATTTTGTGCTTAGCGAATCAGTTGAGTTCTTTTGCACATTGAAACTGAGCAGTCGTAAAACAGTCAAACTACATTAAGACTTTAACAAGCATGAGAGAGTGAATTATTACCAGACACACTTTGCAGGTTGTGTATTTTTTAAACTGTCAAACAGGGCATCAAGCTAGAAGCGAGTCGTCCTTCCCGTCCAGGCCAAACACTAATAGTATCAGTACTTTAATCAGATTACTGCTCACTCAGAGTAGCTGTCCTCTTTGGAAACCTTCCTACCATTAATTAGTATTTGGCCGGTGTGTAATGTTGACGATGCAACTGAAGAGACTGTTTGAGCTGATGTGAAGGAGTCCCATCATGTGTTTTCCTCAGTTCAGGTGAGCGACCAGGACATGACTGCTGTATGTAAAACTAAGCTTTTTTGTTTTATTTGTGTTTTTTATTTATTATACTTCTACTGACGATGATTATCAATATTAAAATGTGATCAGATGTAATCAGTGTGTGAACCAATAAACTGACAATACAGAGTGCACCTTACTGCCTATCTCTGATCTCAACGCAGCGTTGCTCTTATTAAGCACTGAGGAAAACTGATTGTAATTGCTCTTTCTTTTTCCTGTTATAGGTTCTTCTGTCACGATTTCTGGCACCTAACTCGTCACGCAGCTTCATGAAAACCCTCACAAGTTATATATCAAAATGTGCTCCTCAATCAGGTGTGCTTTATCTTTTGGTAGCAATTCTTCATATGGTTTTTACTAAATTTGTGAAAAACTGCATTACTGGGAAGTCAGCTGGACAACTGCCAAAACCATCCATTTTGGAACCCTAAGGATCTGTCATACTATACAGTAGAAACTTAATTCAAAGTTTGATGGTGTGTTTAAATCTGTTTTGATATCTTTTCTAAAAAAAAAAATTACGCAGTCGCAAATTAATTTGATGATTTTTTTTTTTAAATCCTGAATTTCCTTTCATCACACATGATGACACCCACTCTAAATTTTGACCCACATTTTTTAAAAATGCAGTTGCTCTGTTCTCACAGTTTCTACTCTACATGAACAATTTATACATACAAATGTCACCTTTTTTTCCCACCCAGTGACAGTGCCATTGCTGTAGGAGTGAAGTTTCTTTCATAAATCACCTCAGAACACAGTGTGTCGACCAAACCTTTCATGCATATATATATATTTTTTTCCTTTTTATGAATGTGTGTTTTAATTTACCTGCACTCCAAAGTTTCATGTGAAAATCAGAAACCATGAGTCTCCCTAACCTGCCACCAAATCAATATAATGCACAGTATGTACACGGAAATACATCAGCTTGTTTAAGAAGTTTTTTTTAATGCAACGTATAGTTTTTGTAGTTTTTTATAGTTTGTAACTGTGTTTTTGAGGGTCTAATTATTAGTCTGCCTGTCTGCTCCTCTCTCTGCACCCAAACACTGTGTCTTCTGTCCTTAGTGACATGAACTGATCTTTCCTAACTAGCTTACAGATTTTACTGAGCTCAAGTCAAGTCAGTTCTTCACTTAGAAACATGAGTTCACAAAATACCAGGTTACTTCAAAAAGATCTTAGCCTCACTTGGAAACAAGGGGTGTAACTCCCGTTTTGGGGT